AGATAGATAGATAGATAGATAGATAGATAGATAGATAGATAGATAGATAGATAGAGCAATTTACTTTTAAAGCAGCAGGCCTGTACTAGTATTTAGGATGAAAACAGACATTGTTGGGTTTTTAAAAAATCAAAGTGCAAAAAAGAAAATTACTCAAACAGCCTGAGCTTAAATTAAACGGAGGAGATGAAAGAAATCCGGGAACGTCTTCAGATTTTTCTCAGAACAACTTGAAGATTATGAAATAACAGATATCCTTGACAGAAGAAATAGATACTGGTTGCTACGGTGTGCGTAGAAATCACTTTGGTCAACACGTTGTAGCCAACTGAAAGAAAATGAGTCGAATGGCGAAATCCGTCCAATGCTGTATGAATAGGAAACATAAAATAACTAAACCACTCAGCAAGCGGAAAATGGCAATAATTTAGACACAACACACCTTTGGACACATACCTGTAACTAAGTATATGAAAGAGCAATGAATTCCTTCCTGAGGCCGCCTCAAAGCCAGCAAATTGATCAGGCTCGTGTTTCCTCTGAACACACTAGCCCGAAGAGCGCCAGGAAAATAATCCATAATCTGTTCCGGCTGAGGAATCACAGTGCGCCCAGAGGCCAGCATAGGGCGACAGACGAGACACAGCCACTGCGACACGGGGGGACTGAGCCACCGGTGATCGATTGATTAGCGGAAAACGGCTTTTGCGGCAGGCTGAGAAAACGAACACACACACACACACACACACACACACACACACACACACACAAACACATCCACATACGCACCCACACCCCTCTCACACATACAGATCCACGTATACGCTTTCTTTCCTCCCTCCCTAACCATTCTTCTTCTCGGTGTCCATGTAACTAGAGCTTATGAGTCAGTGTGATTAGGTTGCTTGCATGTGAACGTGGTCTCTGTCTGTCTGTCTGTCTGTCTGTCTGTCTGTCTGTCTGTCTGTCTGTCTGTCTGTCTGTCTGTCTGTCTGTCTGTCTCTCTGTCTCTCTCC